TGTACTCCAATAAGCACTTACAAACTTCCGCTATATAAATCGTATAGCAGGCGGAAAAAAAAAGATTGTTGCAGTGATATGAAGATCAAGCCTGCTCTCGATCTTTCGCCATTACATTTCCGCGCTAAACTTGACGTCTAAACGTAGCGTCTCAAGTTTACAACAAAGAGAGGATGCAACCAATTTTTTGTGGAAGACAAAAACGTAACAGGTGGCCGCTCGTGTCAGCATTCCATACAGATTAGCAGCTTACATCTTACCATAAAAAATGCGGTAACGCCTGTAGTGAATTTGTAGTAGAACTACTGTCGCTCACTTAATGATAGTAAAAATTTCTTCCAATATTATGGTGATATGGACCACATTTACTTTCTTCATAAAAACTATCACACAATTATAGCCAATCTTCAAAACTCAGAAAACTGAAGGGATACTGTAGAAGATCAACTCAACTTTTCTTTTGCAGTTAAGTAAACATATTATAATTACTGATTTCATATTTCAACTAGTAAACAAAAATATCGTATTTTACAACTTTCTAATAAATTTTAATATATTTAATAACCAAATTCCCTTTATCCTTCTTTCAGTACTTTTATTATAAAACACGACTTTGAAAAGTAGATTAATAAAAACATTAAAAATCATCCATGATTTCCAATTATTGCTACTCCACTCAATAATCTTCTACTCAAAGATGCACCGTTCTTATGGACAGAAGAAGACGATCATGCATTTTAACTCTCAAACGTGGTCTAGTCGAAGCACCCATTCTAGTAGCTCCTATTTCAGATAAACCCTACAAGATCCACACCGATGCTTCTACAATTGGAGTAGGGGCATGTTTATTGCAAGATCCGGAAACTTGCAAAGAATTGAGGACGAGCTTACTCGAATATTCAGGATAAGTTGGTCGTGACTGTTGCCACAGTTCACCAGTCCTATTGCGCTGTACACTAATTTTGATATCTCATGTGATTCAACGATTATGTCCACAACAATACTCATCTGACAACGACGTCAAGATACTGAGAAGCTCGAGGACGAGCTACTTCAAGGAATGGAGATGTCGGGTCATCAAGCCCACCAGACAGGTGTTGGCTGAGTGCGGCCGATTACAGAATTAGTGTGTGTGCTCCGCTGGCATGAGCCCGGCTGGTCGCTCCAGTCCCCGCTCCCCCTCCTTCCCCTTCTTTACCTTATAATTTAGAGTAAATAAATGATTAAATCACTCTCTTCTTTCCCATATATCGTCATCGCTACAATCGGATAAGGCAAGGCCAGTCCTAACTTGACAAGTCTTTATTATGGTCGTCCATTTCCTACGGCGATCTCCGAAGTTTGAAAGAGGTTCTTAGAGCTCTTCTTATGTGTATTTGATCTGATAATCTTTGAAACCGTAATCCAAAAGGTAATAGGACCTAGCCATTACAAGAAAGTTTCCAAGCAGACCTTTTAAATCATGAAGAATGAGTAAATTTTGCACAGGTCGCCCAAACGCCAAATTTGGAATAAAATCTGGCTATTTTTGCTTCTTACGAGCACTCTACTACTTGCTACTTACATAAATAAACAAGCTCTCAAATAAGCAAGTTCCAAACTCAGAAAATGAGACATACGAATTTCATTTCCAACCGGCCTTCTGAAGGCATGCATGTCATCTGCCTCTGAAGCCGCAAGCGCTAATTTCCGAAGCGATGGAGCAAAACGAAAACAATTGTAAAGGTCAAATAGCTACCATTAACAGCCGAAAAAAGGGATTACTTTTAGTGAGACAATCGTTGCTGTTTTGTCAGCAACTACACAAACACAATCTTTGGGACGTCTACCTTGGAAACCAGTAGTTTTTCTTTTCGTGTCACGGTTTGAGGAGAACACAATTGTAAAAACACAGAAAAATCAGAAGAAATAAGACTAAGTTGGGAAGTAGTTTGGCGCCTAGGGCAACCGCAGCATGAGACACTGTATTTGTGCAGCTGCACATAACACTGGCGGTCTTCGTTTCTTTACTACGCACATGTTGTAGCCATAGATAAGCGACAGGCTCGCTCATGAGTAAATTTTGAGCCAAGAGGATTGAAGGCTCATTTTCCTGTAGGTGGGAATACTGTACTTTACAAGGTTTCTTTGCAAAATTTTTCATTACAGCACATCCAAACATCTTCCATATTCATCGATACTCGTATTTATTTGTACAATAACAAGAATGATGAAAAAGGCAATTTACACTAATAGTGGACTAAGCATAAATGTCAAAGTTCCTCCAATGCAGACGATGTGGTAAAGCAAGCAAAATGATGCTCTTGGAATCATATGATTAACACTGATAAT